GAGGGAGGGAGGGAGGGAGGGAGGAAGGAAGGAAGAAACAAAATTAGTAATGAAGAAAAAATGAAGAAAGCAACAAAAACAATAATAATTTTTACCATTTTAGGATGATAAATTGCAATGGAAAGAAGAACTTCTGTTTCTTCTATAGCTTTATGCTCTTCTGCTCCTTTGCGAGTTACGGATTCCTAATGAAAAGTGACTATCACTATCATGCAACTAAAAATTTGTTATTTATCCTTATTTTCAACTTCTGTAACCCACCTTAGCACCCAACATCACCCTATTTACTCTTCTGTCTTCTAGCCTGTTTTTTCTATCAACTTTGGTATGCCAGAATCAAAAAACTCAAATACATAAAGACATCACAGGGAAAAAACCCGGATTCTCAAATTGGGAATTGTTGGGAATTTCCTTGAATTCCCAATTCGAACATGCACCAACGTTGGGATTTATTGTTGGGAATTTCCTTCTAATACCCAATAGGAAAACAAAATTCCCAACAAACTAACATTGGGAATCAGTGCCACGTTCCCAATTTTGTTCTCTCTGGGAATTGGATGGGAATTCACTGGGAATTCAAGGAAATTCCCAACAAATTCCCAATTTGGGAATCCGGTTTTTTTTCCTGTGCATGTATCAAACTTACCTTTACAAAATAATTTACTTCTTTTCTAAAATGAGTGATTTTGCCTTTTCTTTCCTTTAACAGCCTAGTGCAGAAATATAATGATAAACAAGCTAAAAGAGAATATGTATGGATGGGATGGGATGAATGGATAGCAGGTGGGAGAGTTAGAGGATGGATGGGTAAAAAGGATGGATAGATGATTGGTCAATGAATAGATGGTTGGATGGATGAATGGATGGATAAATTGGTGGGAGGATGGATGGGCGGGTAAGTGACTGGATCGATGGATGGATGGGTGGATGGATGAATGGGTAGGTGGATGGAAGGGTACTTACTAGAGGGATGGATGAATGGGTTGGTGGTTGGGTGTACAAGTGAATGGATGGCTGGATGGATGAGTGGATAAATGGGAATGGACAGTAAAGAAATGAATGGATGGATGGATAATTGCTGGATGGATGAATGGGTGGATGGATGGATGAATGGGTAGAGGAACAGATGAAGGCTAAAGATATGGATAGATTGATAGAAGTAAAAATTTATAATTATTGGTAAAAGGTTCGAAAGTTGGTTAAGCACCAGCTGATTCAAAGCAGTTGGTGTGAAGATCATTCATCACCAGACATATACCACATGTTATACATTCATAATGTAAAGCGCATTGAAATTATTTGAAATGCCCTATATGAGAAACTCCCATTATTATTATTATTATTATTATTATTATTATTATTATTATTATTATATTTCTATTTCCATGTTTTACCTTAAAGAAGAGAGGTCCGTATCAGGTGGGATATCATTATTGTAAATATCAACAGAGTCTAAATCACTTGGTTCAGCTGGACCCTGTCACAAACAAGTTTTTTCATTAGAACTATGCAAAATAGATAAAGAATGGTGTAATGGATTGAGCAGCTGTTAGTTGGGAGAGCCTGGAAGTGCCTATCAGTGATGGCCGTGAGAAAGACAGTTCTGCTGGACCCTGCCAGAAGGAAGTTCTTTCTAATAAAGCTATGCAATTTTGATAGGTACAACCATACAAAATAGATAAAGGAGTTGTACTGGAGTGAGCACCTGTTAGTTGGAAGAGCCTGTGAGGAACTATTAATGATGGCCATGAGAGAGACTAAACGAGAGTATGGGTAATATACCCCTTGCATATGACCCCAAAGAAGCTCAGTTTGGAGGACAAAACAAAATCTCACGAGAATTGGAAACCTATTGTTATGTCCTTTAAATTGAGCTGCACTCCGAAGTATTGCAAGGTGTCTATTGACTAAAAACAAATTAATTAATATATTAGTTATAAAGAAAATACCTTCAAGTTAGCTGGACTGTGGTAACAGATTCCAAGAAAATGAATTCCAAGGTAAATCGTGGACAAAAGAAAGACAAACAAACAAACAAATATTAAATATCAAAAATAAGAAATAGAACCAGAAAAAAGTAATAAAGTTAAAGTTATATAAGTTTAATGATTTTAAACAACTAACAATTAAGCTTAAATCAAGTATTGAATTTAACATTATGTATATGAGTTAAAGACTATAACATCATGCTCAAAGAAAAAATGTATTTTGAATGAAACTAAGAATTTTTAAGCTTACCTGCAAACTTCATCCAACTCTGCAACAGTTTCAGGAGAAACCCCCATCGCTTCTGCAAGCTCACTATGTGTTGGCTCATGTTTCTTCATTTCAATATCTTCCTCTGACAGCTCATTCGAGAGATATTCTTTAAAACTTTTGACACTTATTAATGAAGAAAAATCACTATTTTCCTTCCCTCTTGTCGCTCGTGCCGTTCTTACCGCCATTTTGAAAATAGTACTGAGTCTATCAGGAAATTTGATTGGTTGCTTTAATCTGAGGGTTGGTGTTGACCAATAGGATGCTTCGTTATATAGTATAAGCTAAGACCCCTGGGATCGATATTTTCGTGCGTCTTGAYAAATAAAAACCTGCACATCACCAAGGAAGTATTATTTTATATGTTTCGGGAGGCATTTTGCTGTATTTCTTCGAGTTTAAAATCTGGCCAGTTTATTTTACTAGAACCTTAACAAAAGAAGAAGGTTTTGACGTTTAGTTTTGAGGTGAAAATGGGCTCGCCCACCTACAACTGGCAGGCCGAGAAAACCTGTGTTAAAGACAGGATAGCTTTTCTATTTAACAACGAAATTCTCAGTGATGTTTACTTCCTTGTGGGTAAAGGACCTCAAAGACGACGTATTCCAGCACATAAGTTCATCCTTTCAGTAGGCAGTGCTGTTTTCGATGCCATGTTTAATGGAGGAATCGCGACACAGTCAGACGAAGTCGAACTCCCCGACGTTGAACCGTCGTCTTTCTTGGCTCTTCTTCGCTTTTTGTACACAGATGACGTTCAAATTGGACCTGAAACTGTCATGACGACTCTTTATACTGCTAAAAAATACGCAGTTCCTACACTAGAGAAGGCTTGTGTGGATTTTTTAAAGACAAATCTCAGTCCTGATAATGCTTTCATGTTGCTTAGTCAGGCTCGCTTGTTCGATGAACCCCAACTCGCAGCGCTATGCCTAGATTGTATTGATAAAAATACTGTGGAAGCTGTTAATGCAGAAGGCTTTACTGACATTGACTATGATACCCTTAACGTGGTTTTACAGCGAGATACGTTAAATATTCGAGAAAGTCAGCTATTTACAGCTGTAGTACGCTGGTCTGAGCACGAGTGTCAAAGAAGACGACTTCAAACCACAGCTGAAAACAAAAGGTACTGTAAGAAAAATCTTACTAAAATAATTCATAGACCATCTCAAGACTTCAAAACCCTGAAAATGTGTTGATAAAATCTTTTACTTTCAAATATTCCGTAATTTGTTACAATATTTTTCTTTGTAATGTTGTATCACGTGATCTTGTGTGACTAAAAATATTTTGACCTCGCTGTAAGGAGGTCATCAGTTAAATTTACGGATAAAACTTCGAGAATAATCTAAAGCAGTTTTTTGAATTGGAGGGGCATAGATTTTAAAAGTATTGCAGAGTGATTGTTGATTGTGATGCTATAGTCATAGTGATGGCGATGTTGACGATGCTATGTTCTCCTGAATTTCACAACTGTCCATATCACAATTTCTGAATGTTTTTGTGTTGCTTGTCAGCATTTACCCTTAACAGGGCCTTGCTGTCAGTAATTTATTAGAGCAGTATGTGGTTCGTTGCTAGTGTGTGGCTCTCATGTTGCAGTTTCAAGGGCATGTTACTTGCTGAAATTTACCCCCTAACAGGGAAGATGACAGGGATGTTATGGTGCTGGTGATGTTGATGATGATGTTGGTAATGGCTAATGAAGATGTTGATAGTGATGATAGTGGTGATGGTAGCGATGATGAAGGAGGTGATAATGATTATAGTGTTGATAGTGGTAGTGAGAGTCACGATGAACATAATGGTGGTAATGGAGGTTCTTATGTTGGTGATTATGATATAACAATAGGATATTCCTCTTTTACAGGTCAGTCTTGTCAAAAGCACTCTATCAAATCCGTTTCCCCATGATGACAGTAGAGGAATTTGCATCATCTCCTGCCGTCCATTCCAATATCCTTACAGACAAAGAAGTGGTTTCACTTTTTCTTCACTTCACTCTTAACCCAAAACCCTCAGTCGACTTCATGGACAAACCTCGCTGCTGCTTGACTGGCAGAGAGAAGGTCATATCTCGATTCACGAAAGTTGAGTGCCGCTGGGGATACAGTGGGACTAGTGATAGGATACGGTTCACATGTAGCCACAGAATATTTGTCGTTGGGCTAGGTATGTATGGATCGATAAATGGTCCCAGTGACTTTCAAGTTACAATGCAACTCATAGAAAGTGAAACTGCAAAAATTTGTGGACATAATGACACAGCATTCAACAGTGATGGCTCAGAGAATACATTCCGTGTGATGTTCAAAGAGCCAGTTGAAGTCCTCCCTAATGTCAGTTACACAGCCGCTGCTACCGTGAGGGGATCAGACTCACACTATGGAACTTGTGGGCAGAAGCGTGTGGTGCATGACCTTGATGGGCGAGAGAAAATTGTGTTTAATTTTTATTATGCGACAGGGAATAACAATGGAACATCAGTTGAAGATGGACAAATACCTGAGATTATATTTTACACTTGATATATCACTGGGGATATATTAAAAAATATACAACACCTAATTTCATAATTACATAACCAACACAGCCTTAGTCATTTAGGCTTTTGGCCTCTGCCAATCAAACAGTACTAACAAAAACCAATGGAAATTTGATTGACAGAAGTCAATTACCCAGACATCTCAAGTTATAGCTAGTTGTCTGGGTGGTATAATTGTTATAAAAATGAGTATGGCATGTAAATTTCATATTTACAGTAACTTGTATATACGTACTGTATGTACACGTACCATCCTGGCATAATAAGAGATTGTCACACGTTAAGAACTTGTTATTGTTTTCATTCATGAGTTTCTATTTCATATCACGAAACCCATATCACAAACAAGTGAGTCTATGAGCGAGTTGGTGATATGATATGGACAACAAGTGATAAAAGTTTAAGATTTCCGGCTCATAACGCATAATAATTTGTTTATAATTACACATTTTAGGGTCAATACAATAACACTGCTCACAGTTTCCATTTTACCATTCACACTTCACTTTTTATTCACTCCAGCTTTCATGCGGATATTTAAGCTTAAGCTTTTCAAAATCTATGACGGCAATGTCAACTGAGTCTGGGGTCTTCAAAGTCTGTCTTCCCTGTGGATGAGTTGACTTTACTGACAATCTTGTGAAAAGTGAAATCTCCAATGAACAGAACCCCAAAGAGAAATTATTTACACTTCCAGTTGATGTCGCCGTCGTAGATTTTGAAAAGCTTAAGGTCGCTATTGAACCCAAATGTGTAGCCTTGGGGGGTTGGGGAGGGGCCACTACACAGGTTTAAAGATATAAAAATTAAATACTTATAAATTACAAAATAATTAGCCATTATAGTAGCATAGAGGGAGGTGATTTGGGGGGAAGGGGTAAACAATTGAATTTGTAATATGTTCCTCAGTCTTTGGTTAGCTGTATTTGGCATCTTCGATAGCTGTCATATTTGACAGCTGTCAATTATACACCTATTTCAATGAGCATTGTCATCACCCATGGTGATAGGCAATATGCAAGAAGCCATTGGAGATAGGTCATTCCAAGATTGAAGAATAGCTGGAATGACTTGTGTTTCTGCTCCTTATTCTCGTCAAAAACATGGATCTTAGTGTTGAGACTGTTTCAATGTTCTTTATGACGTATTGCCTTTGACGATGACAGCGTTTATTGAAATAGCTATATAAAAAGATGATATATAAGATGCTTTGTCTGGCTGCTTTGTTGTTAAGACAGAGCTAGGCCTCTAGATTGGGTGTAATGTTTTCTTATTTCAAACCACGTCATTCCCTTGAGTATCATTTTTTTGTTTAAAAGTTGTGCATGAGACAATGCATGAACATACAGCTGTACATCAAACTCAAACAAATAATCTTATTCTCAAGAGGATGAGACTTCTAAGGCTGATCTGAAATGGGAGAACATTACACCCAATCTTTAACAGCTTCTGGGGAGGGGGGTACTCCTCTATATTCGCTATATGGAATGGTACCGCCAAATGGGGTGAGGTTTTCAGCGATTCTACTCTGGAACAGGGTATGAATTTTAGTGATTTTACTCTGGAACAGGGTCAGGGTTCAGAGGGCTCAGCAGCACATCCGTCCTCCACCCAGGATTAACCTTAGTAGCTATAGCACTATACTATATAGTCAGAAACTGAACCATGAAGACAGAACTAAAAGCCTAAACTCTCCCAGGGTAATCCATTTTAAACCAGATCAATCTCATAAAACTCTTGCACTAAGCTTCTCGGGCTCAAAACAATGAAAAATAATAATTGTGGAAAAAGATTTCAATCGATCTCAAGTAAAAGAAATAAATAAGCTTTGCTTTATTTTAACTTTTGGTATATATTTGTTTTTTCTTCCACCAGCCTGAGAAACAGACATCCTTTAGCTCCCCAACTGCATTCCCTAGCTCGTGAAGGAACTGATTTGTGCAGTGAAAGGAACGTTTGTGTTCTCACGCTATATTCTCCCCCTTGTTTTCTCCACTTCTCATTCATTCACTAAATTCAATTTTCAAAATAAAAGCAGGTCAGCAGCAAATCACCCCACTAGTTTGAGATGCTATGAACCTGCTTGAGCTCATCATTAAAAAAAAAACGATATTTCTAATTTTTTTTTTTTTTTTTTTTCTTTTTTCTTACCTTTCTCTTTTCCCACTTTTCAATTAATGAGCTCTTGAGCCTTTGGCAATGTTATATGGTCAGCGGATTCCCCTATTAGTTCCAGGGGTATTATCGTATTTCCACTCTGAAATTTTGAATTCCCACCAGAATTCCAGTACATCGTATTTTCGCTCATTTTTCAAATTTCCAATTTCGTTTTTTTTTGTTTTCCCAGTTTTTATTCGTGAAGTTTTAAATTGTATAATGGTCAGCGGATTCTCAACTAGTGCCAGTCTTTATAACCGTGCGCCAGCTCATCATTCGAAAAGAAACGAGAAAAAATGGATGAACTGGAATCATACAGCGATAATCTGTTTAATAAAAGACAACTGGGTCCGATCGGCTCTACAGCGTAAGTATAAATGTCTTACAATCTTTCTTTCTCGAAAACCTTGCTCTCCTTATCGAATTTTACGTGTATTGAGGTATAAATCAATCGTCAATGGAAAAACTATTTGACGCTATAAAGTTTCAGTTTTCTATTTGTCGTCTCTGATTAAGATGTTAACTGTGCTTCACCATATTTTCTGTGATGTTAGGAATTTTTGTTATATATATGAGTGTGTGCACAGATTACATATCGTTAAGATGTAGATATTTTGTAGGAAGCATTATTATGCATTGTTTCTAAGTATCTATTAATTTACGTGAATGAGTGAGAAAACATGCCTAGAATTTGATTATTAAATTTATAAATTGTTAATAAATATTTGTTTAATTTATATCACTTAAACTGTGAAATAACATATACTGCTCAATGTGTAGGATAGTCAAATAGACACAAAAGAAAGCAATGGATATCAGATCTACTGACTTCTACTAAAGCTACTGTTGATGGTTTTCACAGCCACCATGTTGGATGTATTTTAGCAAAAGATTCGTCATTATTCTCTCTTGTCATATCATCCAAAATGGCCTCCGTGTCTTTTGTTATTTTATTCTCTTGGGAATATTTGAAAACCAGCAATATAGTGCTAATAAGCCCGGTGTGTTCAATCAATATCGGAAAATCGATCTATAAATCGATATTGATCAATATTAATCTCTTAATAATTGGTATCGATTGTGTCGGTCGATCATCAAAAATCAATACTCACACTTTTTTCTCAATCAGATTATTGGATTAGTATTGAAGAACATTGATAAAATCAAAATATATTGATTAGCATGCATGTATATCTAATTTGAAAGTGGTTGAGTGCTACACTGACCTTCATAACGTCATCTACGTAGGCTGGATCATACAACTTGGATTGATTCAGCCACTGTACTGATAATATTGTAATAATTTTATTGATTGATATCGATATTTATCGATTATCAATTTTATCGATTGAACTTGCCGGGTAATAAGTACGAAGCAATCCATGTTTTAGTATTTGTACTCTAGCCGGTATTAATGTAGTTACATATTTATGAAGAATATCTGATATATAAGCTTCTCCTAGGTGATAATTTCCATTGTGTTTTCTCATTATTTATTTGTGAATAATCAGATTATTTTATTTACAGGACTACTCCATATATTGTCGCTCTTATTGTTGCCAAATTTCTTCACTCCTATGGTGTGTTTGTCGCGTTCGAACAGCTCAAGATATTCCACATTACACAGTTTTTATTTATTGTTAGATTATGGTAAGTACATGTACCAATATCACACTCGATTGAAACATGGGTGTAATGTGCTGTTGCAACACTCTGTCTCTCGTCACTTGAGCTATGGGTTCAATTCTCAACTGAAGGGCATAATATTATGAGACAGTAGAGTTTGTTTGATTTGAAATCTTTCTCTCCCAAGAGCCTTATCCTCCTTCCAAAAAAAAAGTCATTATTCAATGAATAATTTCTTTATTCTATTTTTTCTCTAAGTTCATCCATCATCCTAGTACTACTGCAAAAACCAATATCTTCAGGGAAGAAAATTACACTCAATCAGGTAAGATACACTATATCAACAGTGGTACATACTTATACCTTTAATATTATATTGTTAGCATTAAATACTATTTTTCTTCTTACATGCATGTAACAAAGACACAATCCCTTAAAAACTGTGAGTGTTACAGGTTGGGTTGTGGTAGCATAACATTTGAATATAGTAGTTTGTTTGATGTCCTGTTGCTATTTCAATTGCCATGGAGATTTTCTACCAGCTTCTCTGATCTATTTCTTCATAAAAAAAGGTGTTTACAATTAATTGTAAATATATAATTTTTTTTTACCATAGTGGTACAGAATAGCCAGACATGCAGTGTTTTCTACAATTATTGCCCTTATATGGCTTCAAGGGCTATCACAGTGTGGTGCATTGAGGTAAGAGATTGGCAGTGTGCATATTCAGTGGTTTTAAAGAACTGGACAATAAAAAGAGAATGTGACCTGTAAATCACTGTCTGTAGAGTGTTGGTAGAGCAGTTTTTGTATGACCATGTCCTCGACTTGTTCGTGCCATGTTTCAGGCATTTGATTGGATGGAGAGCAGGGGTTTCAACTAGAAGGCGGCTACCAGCGGTTTATCGCTGGGTACTTACCTACATACTGCCGGCTATTTTGCGAATCAGTCTTAATAAATAAGAAGTAAAATTTGTGGAAACAGACCTGTACTTTTGAGATTCATCCATCTACTTCAAATATTATTGAAAGCCCTGGGAGAGTAAATTGTTGTGCAATGTGATTGGTCATGTTTGGTTTATTCCTCAATGTTTACTTGGCTCATCGTTCTTTCTTTCATTTCTGCATGATGTTTAGAACTATTCTACTGTTTGAACATGGTGAACTAGTAGTACTTGGTGCACTTGGAGTACTCTTTCATACCAGTGTAGGAGGCCACTCAAAGGTAAAAATATAATGTTATGTTCAGTATTAATTTTTCTTAGGGCAAGACAATGACCATTGAGCACCCTCAAAAGCAGGGAAAACTTAATAAGATACACTCAATAGACCTCTTCCGCTTGGGGTAATGTTTTCTCATTTTAGACTGCATCATTCCCTTGAGAATACGATGCTTTGTTGAGCTGTATCCATATTCATGTGTCTTCTCATGTGCAACCGAGCGCAAACCTTAAACAAAGAAATGATACTCTAGGGAATGACATGTGGTCTCAAATGGGACAACATTACGTCAGAGCAGAGGAAGTCTATTGCAAAAACATTGACAGGTTCAAAAACATTGGACATAGAAGCTAAGACTGGAATGGTACATAGGAATGATATTGTGAAGTATTCAAGATACATTCTAATAATTAAAATTAGATGTATCTGGTGGAATATTCATAAATCATTGCACTGACATAAGATAGAGCAGTTTTTGTATGATTGAAAAGCTCACTGTACAAACACAGATGTGACATGGCAAGGGATTTGCCAGACCAATCACATTGCCTGATAATGTTTTCTCCATCCAATCAAATTCATCCATTCATATCATTGTGAATTTCTTACTGAATGAAAGGCGAGGACGGACCCAAAAGCAATAATTTAAAAAAAGTTTATCATGAATGCCCTGCCCCTCCCCACACCAATTAAAAAATGTACCTTCCCTTACTGACTTGATTGCCAACTTTTTTCTTTTATTCAGTTCAGAGGAGCCATTCTTTTTCTTCTTGGCATACTTTCTCTGCTGCTGTTTGATAATGATACTCCACACAGCCATGGACCTAACCACAGTATCCTTTTTATCTCTTTACTAAAAGCGCACAAAGTTGCGAAAAATATTTCTGAGGGAATCAATGGCTGCAATTCGAGACAAAGTTGTATGTTAATAGAGATGCTTGTTGGTTCTCTCCTATTCTTCAAGGGTTTTCAGGGTTCTCAAATTTTCCTCCCTTGAAAAAATCAACTTCTAACTTCCATTGGGAATCCAGTGGAAGAGCTGCTCTGTGGAATCCACTGTTAATATCCTTAAAGCTTATACGGCTCATCAAACTCCGGGCAGGGATTCTTATCCATTTTGAAGGGCCTTGAAAAAAATTTGGTTCTGGAAATCCTTGATTGCTCCTTGAAAATTGCATGCAATATCCATACAGTGTATGAAGCTTTAGTCAGTAAGCCAGTAGTCAAGTGCATATTATTATTATTATTATATATTATATCTGAGAATATTTTGAATTGATACAAAGAAATGATCTAGGGAATGATATTTCTTAACAAGTATCAAACAAGATGAAACAACCCATGGCAGTAGATTGATGCACTGGTATTCACATTTCTTGTCAATGTTGGGATTACCAGACCATCAGGTAGGACAAAATGAGCCTTGCAATAACTATTTCAGCTTTTTAAGTTTAGATTATTCCATTCTAATTAAGTGAGAGATTTTACTTGGCATGTGAAACAAATTTGTTACATTCTAATTTGCATAACCAAATATAAAACATTTCTCATCTAATACTAGACAGGCATATGAGAGTGACTGTGTCAACATGACGAATTATGTAAACCATGATAAATACATTTACTAACAATATATACAGCTATATTACAAGACAAAACGATGGATTTTGTGCCTACTTTAACTTGTGTTGTAGGTAAAACCACCCTAGGCTACACTTAGCACTATAACTTTAATTACTTAATAATATGAAAGCTCTCTAGTGGAGAAAAACAACAAATTGGCAGAATCACTTTGCTGATAAGATATTTTCAGAGTTGTGTGCCCTGCAAGCAGAGGTATAAGAGTTGGGTGTAAGGAATACTAAATAAATTTGATTAATATTGTTTGTGTTGTAGGGGGCACTGCTTCTACTTATCCTGGGTTTGCTATGTAATGTTGCACACGGGAACTTTTCCAGAAAATTAGCTGTTGAAATTGGAGGTAAGTAAACTTAACTTGCTCAGAAAACAAGGATTAATTGGAACAAAGTGAATGGAAAATCCCATCTCTGCGATGTCCTGACCAAGTATATCATTGCAAGGCAAGATTTGCTTCTTTATTGGCACAAAATATAATAATGTCCTTTTGGGAATTCATTTTGAAATCCCCCAAGTGCCAAGTCAACAATTTACCTCATTGAAGTATAGTAAAGCGACTCTTWGTAACCATATTTTTTCTGTCTTGGAAGGTGGAAAGCGACTGGCAGCCCTGTCTACGAGTATAGCCACAATATTGTTGCTTCCTGCAGCAGGCATTACCCACTTCACTCAGGTATTTAGAATATAAGTTCTAAAGGCCTTCTGTAAAAGCTTTAAGTAATATATATACAGTATGAGTGGCCKTGTTGTATCAGATATACAAMCWCGAGGCGTAGCCAAGCRTTTGTATATCAGATACAACACAGCCACTCATAYTGTAGATTGCTTGTCAAACGTCTAGGCTAGATATAGTTCCTTTGTGTTTCACTAAAATTTTCAAAATTAAAGTGAATCTGGCCAAGAATATCCAACTTAAAGTTTATGCAAATGAAAACAATTTTGTATCAGATTTACAACACTCTTCACGGTCATGATTTCTGTTGTGTTTTCTTCATGAATTATTAATGAGTTTGACAAATCCCATTTCTGATTAGCAGCTACGTAGTAAACATTCCATCTGAAATCCCTTTAATTTACCACTGCTTGTATTTCATTTCTAGGAAACCTCAATTGATTGGATCAAGTCCATTCTACCAATGAGTTTAATCGTCCTATTTGTCTTTGTCATTGACTTCTACGTAGAATCATTCTGTTTTTCAAAGCTTGAAGCTCACATGACCACTAAGATCGGTTCGACAGCTTCATTCTTGTCAGCTGTTGTCTTTGCTATCTTGTGGGACCAACCATGGGCATGGACCATCCATGAATGGCATCATGGAAACACAGCTGGAGTAAAGCACTTGTTATCAGGGGGAACCATGTTCAGTGCTGTATTCTTCATCTTGGGTATGGACTAGTTTGAAAGTATTGAATCAATCAAGGGTGGCATAGCAGGATTTGCTTGGGTCTTCGGTTCGAATCCTGATCTCAGCATCCTTTGAGAGTAGAATTTATCAGGTCTCTCTCTCTGATTCAAGGTTTTTAAAGAAATTTGTCAAAATCAGGTGAAAACACAAAGGAAAGTCCACTACAAGTTGTATCACCCTAACGAAACCCATGTAAAATAATGCGAACCAACCCTCTAATCAACCTTTCCTCCGGGCTCTTCAGTTTTCCTCCCTCCACAAAACCTAACAGGCTAAATGCTAATTCAATCTGTGAGTTAGCTGTTCCCTGACTTGAATCAACCCAGAGGTTGTTTCTGGGTTCAATGTTTGAGTTAGCCATGCCCTGACTTAGATCAGCCCAGAGGTTGATTCAGGGTTCGATGTTTGAGTTAGCCATGCCCTGACTTAGATCAGCCCAGAGGTTGTTTCAGGGTTCGATGTTTGAGTTAGCCATGCCCTGTCTTAGATCAGCCCAGAGGTTGTTTCAGGGTTCRATGTTTGAGTTAGCCATGCCCTGACTTAGATCAGCCCAGAGGTTGTTTCAGGGTTCGATGTTTGAGTTAGCCATGCCCTGACTTTGATCAGCCCAAAGGTTATCTTAGGGTTTTATTTATTTATTTGTAATTTTTGTTCCATTCGTTTCCAGCCACTCGTCTTTTATCTCGTCCATCACCTCGTCCAGCTAAAGGCAATCTTATTGGCTACACCACAGGAGGCTTGCCAATCTACAATTTCCACACTCCACAGACTGTTCTGTCAATATGCAGGACGTTTCTTAGACAAACACTTGAAGAATCTGAATCAAGACAAATATTCTACTTCCTCTGCTTGAACCTGGTAAATCAGTGTTGTATGTGTCGTTATTGCTGCTGTTGTCGCTACTGTTTTCCCTGCTGCTGCTGTCGATACTATTGTCCCAGCTGCTGCTGTTGTAAATGTACAGTTGTCGAACAAGCTTGGCAATGGCATGCCAAGTTCTCATTTCCCTAAAATCAGTAAATTATGTCTGCTGACTGATCGTACTGTTTTGTGTAGTTTTTTACAGGAGTGGAGTTGCTATATGGGATGTGGACAAACAGCCTTGGCCTGATCTCGGATGGTTTTCATATGTTGTTTGACTGTACTGCCCTTGTTCTTGGTCTCTGTGCTGCCCTCATGTCACGATGGAAAGGAACTAGAAAGTTTACATACGGGTAAGGAAACATTTACTGTTGTTGATGCTACTTTTGTTGCTGTCATGCTGTTGTTTGTTACTGCTGTTGCTGTCGTTGTTGTTGTCGCTGTTATTGCTGTTGTTCGTTGCTGCTGTCATTGCTACTGCTGTGGTTGTTGCTGCTGCTCTTCTGTTTATGGCATCTTCGCAACTTTTGTTTTTCTCGCAATTACAAAGTATTGTTTTCAAAGTAAACTATGTTGTGTTATTTTTTTCAGGTTCAGTAGAGTGGAAATCTTGTCTGGTTTTGTTAATGGTTTATTCCTGGTTGTCATTGCTTTTTTCGTATTCTTAACTGCAATACAAAGGCTGTTTGATCCTCCTAAAGTTAGCACAGAACGCTTATTGGTAAGTATTTTCATCTACCCATCCTTGTTTCTCCTTCTTTATTTCCTTCCTTCGATCCATCCCTATCCATTTCTTTCTTTCATATACACTTTTTTCTCCATCCATTTATTCGTTCATTGTCAATAATGATTCCAAACAGGGGAGGATTCTGGGAGAGTTTTTACGAACCCCCTAAACCGCAATTGAACTGCATTAAAAATGATTGTCTTTTCCAGTTAGCCTGTCACAAATCTACAGTCCTCCTCTCCCCCCCTCCCAAGGCAAAATTCTGGATGCACCCCCTCCCCCCTCACATGGCAAAATCCTGGATCCACCCCCTCCTCTTCCTGGATCCATTCCCTGCCAAGTATGGTATACTTTCCTTACTAATACAAAAAGTACCTCATCTTATTATCTTGCAGGCTGTGTCTGTCATAGGTCTGCTTGTCAATTTAGTGGGAATCACTGCTTTTCGTCATGCCCATGCGCATTCGCACGGCGGGTCATCTCATGGACATAGTCATGATCATGGCCACAGCCACAGCCACATTCATGAACACCCCTCGTCCCACCCTGATAGGAGCGTCAATATGCAAGGTAATACAAAACTTTTTTAGGCTCTGGGTTGTAGTGTACTCACCTCTTGAGTCTCGGGTTCGATTCCTGGACTCTGCATCACGTGTGAGTAGAGTTTGCTAGGTCCCTCCCTTGGTTCGAGGGTCAAGTTTGTTGTCCCCTGACTTTAACCAACCCAGAGGATATTTCAGAGTTTGATAAAATTTGAAGGTTCAATCTCAGTTATCTACTGTTATCTTGACAGGTGTGTTTCTTCACGTAGTGGCCGACACCCTTGGTAGCGTAGGTGTCATCGTCTCATCTATTTTGATTGAGCGCTTTGGACTGTATATAGCAGACCCTATCTGCTCACTCTTCATTGCAACCATGATCTTTCTTAGCGTTATACCATTACTTAAAGAATCATCCGTGGTTCTCTTACAAAGAACTCCTGAAACTCTGGATAAAGCACTTAGCAACGTTCTAAATAAGGTAGGTGAAGAAAGGTAGGAAACAACCTCATGGGTTTTTTTTAAATTTTTCTTTACTTTACAGCACAACACGCATACATCATGACCTGTATTTGCATACTTCTATGCACAGGGTTTTTTAAAGYGACGCATTTCGATGCAAAGCCAGTTGGTTTTACCAAATAAGGCATGTAAAAATCATTTGGTGGTGCAAGGCCTGTGTGAAATGTGTGAAAAAACATTGCGGCCAAACTAAAAAATGTCTATTGCAAGACAACTTAAATCAAGAGGTTGTTACTTTATACTTGCAGCTGAAGTTGCAATTTTGTTACCGACAAATTTGTCTTGTGGACTAGTGTGTAACATCAATTTATTTTCACGATTTTAAGGTCTTGTCTATCGATGGTGTGCTCTCTTATCGAGATCATCATTTCTGGCAACATTCAGAGAAAACAATGGTGGGAACCATACATGTGCAGGTGGCACCGTCTGCTAATGAACAGAAAATCATACAACAGGTTTGTTTTAGTGTTTTAGTTCAAGATTGTTGCAGTCTTTCAATCCTACCACAGGAACTCCATTCTACCTCCAATCCATATGACGGAGGATAAATCAAAAAACCTTCAATTTTATTGATATCCCGAAACAACCTCGGAGCCAATCTAAGTCAAGGCACCACAGATCGAAGTGGAGTGTAGCATGTTTTTTGGGGAATCAAGGGAGACCCAATATACTGCAATACTGAATCCAGGAATCGAATCAGAGACTACTCCAGAGGTGTGAGGATCACTACGCTAAACTTGATCCTCCAATTTCTTAAAAATCTAAAGTGTAAAATAATATTCATTGGAAGGAGAAACTCTGTGAAACCACTGCTAGATTTCTAGGAAAACTAGAAATTAAAGTTTTGTTGACATCACCCTGGTAACCACATTGTCAAAACCTTTCCTACAAGCCTCCATTCTCGTACCCAAAGCCTTGTCAGCTTCCTAACGAAAGATCGTTTTTTTGGTGAAAGGGTCTGGATACGAGAATGACCTGCCTCATGTAACGCTCTCTGTCTTTAGGTAACTTCAGTAATGAAAGAGTATGGGGTCAATGACGTATCAATACAAGTTGAGAAGGAAGCCTTCTTTCACCACATGTCTGCCCTGTCTGCTGGCTACAAGTCTGTGCTGGCTTTGAAACAAGGCTCAGAAATTGGAAATCCGCCATCTGACACCGATTTAGGTTTCATTAAGTCTATTTAAATCAAATTTGTTTCTTTTAATGTAAACAATTAATTTGTAAATAACATTGATGTAGATATAACTAGATGTAATACCTACTGCGTCTTCACTTGTCTGGGATGTAGAATCTCTCACACAATCTCTTGCTAGACATGCTACATCCATGTTTTCTCTTCTGGCTGTAAGTTCATTGCCAGTATGAGAGCATAGCAATGTGTATCTGCATGATGTTAGCTCAATTGCTGGTTTTCAGTCACTCCCAAGAGAATGAAATAACAAGACATGGCGGCCATGTTGGATGATAAAATAAAAGAGACTAATGACGTGGCGGCTTTGAAAACCATAAATAGACCATTTTTGAATTCATGGAACAACATTGCTGTGTACGTTCCTTTATTACAGACTCATTTTCTCAGGGTTAGCCTTATTCCAATGTGAGAATATTGTACCTTCACTGGAACATATGAATATTCTAAAAACTATTGATGGTTTTCAACCATTCCCAAATGAGTTAAATAACAAAAGACACGGTGGCCATGCTGGAGGATATAATTCTTTTGTTAAGTTCCTGAGCCAACATGGCCGCAGTGAAAACCATCAATAAGCCTGAAGCGAGATGACGTTTTACCCCCGTCTCTAGACCATAATCCTTTTCACGTTGCTTTTGTTCTTTAATTATGACTATTGTACCTGTATTCTCTAAGGAATCAAAAATTTTAATATGAAATAATTTTAAAAACTATTATGGTATAGAGTCGGGGGTAAAACGTCATCTCGCTTCAGGCTTATTGAGGCTCTGAGAAACTCTGAGAAACAGAGAACTTGAAAATAGAGTATTGGTCTGTGGATCCTGTCATGAAATACATGTACAAATACCAATACTGTACACCCTTTGCATAATTGTACAAGTGTAAGCGCAAGAAACTTCACAACACTAGCCTTGATTCAGTGCAACACAAGAGCCCGCAGTTTGTGCATCCAGTTGTATCAAGTCGAATGTGAAAGTGTACTATTTATGCAGATCAGTACTAACTGTTTTAACTTACTTTTCTGGACATGATTAGAGTAAAGTCATTAAACCCGTGAAATAGATATTAGACTAATACACATTAGTAGACCCTAATTCCATTGTTTTCTTTTGTGTCTATTTGACTATTACACGTTGACTAGTATTTTTTTTGCCTTCACTCTAGTACATTTATACAAAGGGTCTATAACAGTGGAACCAATAATTTATCCCCGAGAAGTAGTCCATTCGAAATAAAATATATTAGACGTGATAATAACTATAAATGATATTTATTTTTAGATGTCTGATATCAGCTAGCTGTATATATAGCAATCTATATTTTGTTCTCTGTAATAAACTATAAGTTACTCAAACAGTAGAAATTGTGATATTGTTGTGAAATTACTGATATAAACCATGCCTAGAATATGGTTCAATGGTTTAATTAATCTCGCACCCAGAGCCCCCGTTCCTCTTTGTCAGCACCATTATATTTGTAGAACAACTTTTTTTATTGGTTTTTATCGGACCAATCAGAATACTCAAAAAATCGGCTACTACCCAGAGCCTCTCGTTTCTCTGTGCTATTCCAAGAGGAACGTGGGCTCTGGGTATGACATTGTGATGTAAACATGGGTCGGTACTAAACGGTTTTGCTTGGGGAAAAAAAAAAAAAAACGTAATGGGAAGCATTTTTGGTTCCAATTAAAATTCATAAAACTCATAAAACTTTATAAAACTTACTTTTATTTATTTTCATTAACGTCATTCATCGAAATTTGAATGAAGATAAATATGATTCGCAATTTGCAAGACTGCTTTTTGGAACAAAGCCTAAATCTGTTTCATTGATCGGCAATTAAGGTTTTCGTTCGTTATAAATAGCAAGTTACAGCAATAATTTAAGTCTTGAAGAGTTTTCGTATGACTGTGAAAAGCTCGCGGCACGAACACGGTCATGACACGGTAAGGCATACCAGTCCAATCACATGTGCGAGAATTTAGTCTCCATCCAACAAATACCCGCAACATGGCATACCCGGTCACGGCACTGCCAGACCAATCACATTAGGCGAGAAAAAATCAGCCAATTAAAATCCTAGAAAAAATCACGGCACGGCACGATTATAGCACTGAGCTTTTCATAGTCATGTGAAAACTGCTCTAGCTCTAGCGTAGTTGAATTTTTCCAAATATTTGTTTTAAGATTAGGATAGTTTTGGATTTGGACTGGAATTTCTTTATTTGATTGTCATTTGAATATTATATCATAAAAATCCATCATCATTAACTTTAAAGGGAATAAAATGAAGTGAAAAGCACGGAAATGATCATTGGCCAAGAGCTGGATGGTTGCCATGGCGATATTGGTCTTCGTAATATGAACAAGACATTTTTTAACACTTATGTCACGATGTGAACCAGGCTCATTGCTACAACACATTACATACTCATTGACTCAAACCTGGTTGCCATGGAGAAAGCATTAGAATCTACTGATTGGTCGTGGTGGAGCCATCAAACCAAGCCCTGTGTTTTGTTTCTTCGTTGGTTGCCTGGCTGTGCCTCCTCCTCGTTTCTTGCTGTACTGCAAGCCCTTCAGACCATTAGAAGACGAATATCCACCACTGGAGTAACCAGTCTGGTCATCTGAAACGCCGGTCCTGGTACAAAAAAATCACCTTTATTTAGAAGGGGATGACACGTGAACGGTGAGCTTGCAATGATAGAGACATGTGAATAATTGTCCAAGGTGTTAAAAAAAGGTCTCTATCATTGCAAGCTCACCGTTCGTCTCGCTTCGATGCAAAGGCACCTTTCAAGATGGTGCAGGGAACTGTGAAGGTGACTATTGACTGCCCAAAATATCTTAAACTACCAGTCTGTAAGACTAATAGGTTTAAGAATACGTTTATAATGAGACATAATTTTAATTAGGAGTAGCTTTTAGATTCCCCTTTTTAGCTTTAGTATATATTTTATTCCTCCTAATAGTAGTTTTTAGGTGAATAACATAATTTTAGATGATGTTTGCTAAATTCCCCTTAAATTATTTGTTGTCGTTGTTTTTCTATATATCCTTTTCTATTATTGATGTTTCTATATGTTAGATATTTGTTTTTAATTATGACTAATAAAGCTATCTATCTATTTATCTCTGACTTGTGGCACTCTATTTTTAACGTCTCTAAATGAAGAGGAACACTACGAGTTCATCCGCGCAAATGAGAAATCTGTCCTGGTCAAAGACTGGGCACGGCTAACTCACAGATCAAACCCTGAAGCAACCTCTTGGTTGAATATTGTCTGGGCACCGCTAACTCACAGATCAAACCCCGAAACAACCTTTGGGTTGAACAATGTCTGGGCACGGCTAACTCACAGATCAAACCCCGAAACAACCTTTGGGTTGAACAATGTCTGGGCACGGCTAACTCACAGATCGAACTGGAATTTAGCATGTTGGGTTTTGCAGAGGGAGGAAAACTGAAGGACCAGGAGAAAGACCCTCGAAAGAAGGGAGACCTGAAAAAACTCTACTCACATGTGATGCCGAGTCCAGGAATCAACCCCGAGACCCCACAGATGAGAAGGGAATTGCACAAGCGCCTGCACAACCATTGATTCCCTAAGAAGAAACTGTTCAGAGCCTTGATTGTAAAATTATAAATAACCTACCTAGGCTTCCTCTTTGAAGTGGTTTTACGCTTTCTTTTCCCACCTCGAGTACTTTCTTGTACTTCGTTGTCATTCCAATAGCGCGAGTGCCCATAGTCACCTCCACCATCATTCCATGTGGGAACATCCGTGTCTGTGGAGGATACATCGTCTGTTCCGACATCCGAGGTGGTACCTTTTCGCTTCTTTTTTGGCTTTGGTTGCGCTCTAGCCTTCTCGCTTCGCACTGAAAAGGGTGGCAACTGAAAACACAAGATAACATTTTTTTAAAGGTATGGAGAGAATTTTCTGTGCGTTTATAGCCCTACTGTAATCGTAGATTGTATCTTGCCGCAACCGTAACTACGACTTGTGATTCGATGATTTACACGACATTGGGAAGGGTTAAGACATGTCGTACCATGTCAAGGCCCTGTTACACGTTGAAACTTTTGGCTGGAACTTGTGTGCAACGGACTGTGCAACGGCATTGCGGGACAAGTTACACAGGCTGTTACACGACACAATCAGTCAGTAGCGTGTCTTACCAATCATACGAAAACCACTCCCATGGGAAGCCTTTTCAGTGTTAAAGTATGTCGTACCGTGTACGTGGTGTAAGTCAGTAACGTGTCGTACTCCTCATACGAAAACCACTCGCTCGGGAAGCCATTTCAATGTTACGACATGCCGTACCATTGTATACGTGTTGTACCCAGTATCACTCATATAGAAACCACTCACATGTAACCGTAACTACTGTTACGGTTACACCAATGATTACCTTGTATCTTCCGTTGAGTAGATGCATAGCCTTAGAACCAAGCACCGCGTAACCAATCACGTTCTCATGGTTACCAATAACCAACTTCTCTCCCAGGACATCCTTCATGACTAGCATCCTCGCGAGTCTCTCCGCGTCGTTTCTATGGAAATCTTTCCCACGTGCAAACAGTGCGCAGCGCTCGTGACCCTCTTGGACAACGCGCGCGTTATTTGATCCCTGCAAGACAGTGTAGAAAAACTGTTAAGAAAGTATTTGCAACGATTTCAAGAAAATGGTTGTTTTTTTTTTGTTTTATTTTTATGAAATGAGACTCGCGTAACTGGACAAATGCAGGCCTGCAGATTTTGAAATTTAAGGGGTGAAAACTTCGTAGGCTCATTATTGTTGTAACTATGCGTGCGAGCAGTTTTCAACCGTGAAGGGCCTAATGGCCAGTGCTGTAACAGGTCTCCTACTCTTAGCATCAACGTATTTGTTCCCTCTTCCGTGGGGTTCGCTCCACATGCAAAACCACTACATTTACTATATACAACACTCAACTCACATGTTAATTTTCATGGAGGGAGAAAAACCCGGAGAAAAACCCTCGTGGCAAAGAGAAGAGCATATCAAACAAACTCACATGTGGCTCGGTCGAGAATCGAGCCCGCGAGCCCAGGCATCATCTACACAGCGGTGAGAGACAGCACCGTATGCGCCCATTTAAATTCAACGACTTTCAGTGATATTCCTGTTCAAGTAAGCAACCCAAGAGGAAATGACCCCATTCGTGGTCTTACCTTAAAAATATCCACAAAGTGGCTCAAAGGGTACCTAAGGTTCCTTGGTCTTTGCCAAGTACTGTTACCTTGATGTACCAACTCATTGACCGTCCGTACAAATGCCTTGGCGTCCTCATTCACGTCTTTCTCCACGTAGTCCAACGTATTAGAGCAGTTGTCGCATACGGTCTCCTGGTGTTCACGACACTCTGCCTTATCATAGTTCGTCTCTCCAAAGTAATGCAGTAGTTGCACTCTTCTGCATTCTGTTTGATTCTCGCAGAACTGGACGACACGGTATAGATTATCCATGTGGACGTCTTTGACTACCTGGTCTCCATCAATCATCCTGTTGTAATCACAGGGAGCCCAATTTAATAATAATAATAATGTATACGCAGCGAGCGAACAGAGGACCGTAAGGGAATGGACGATTGTTAAATTGTTCTTGAATGAGAGGCTAACATGAAAATACAAAAGAAATCACACTTTTTCTCGATGAAATTTGTGGCATTTCTTTTGTATTTCCATATTAGCCTCTTAGCATTCAAGGGTGGGTTAGGCTTTTGAAAAAAGTGCGGACTAAGTTTGGGATATGTAAATAATGGCAGCACACAAAAAATATGACTTTAAAACGTGCAGATTAAGTTTGGGAATTTCAAAATTGTTGTGACCTTTTGGTGGCTTGGTATGCAATATGCAATATGCAACCTGCAACAAAACCTCATACAAAACCTTCGTCAGTCTTTTTTGAAATAGCCGTATACTTCTATTTCAAAAAACGTTGTCGCTCGAGTAAGTATCTGAAAAGAGCGATCTGAGACTAAAACAGAAATTTTGTGCTTTCATGTTTTCTGGCTAAAATACGAACAATCGAGAAGAGAAATTATTGTAGTACTAGTGTGTTTTTCAATTAATTCTGCATATGCTCAGCAACTTGTGACGCATATGCGCAACAAGTTGGCTGATTTAAAAAAAAGATGCTTTAAAACCCAGAATCCGCATAGCTCCCCCTATCAATCCATAAATTTTAATAAGCTTTTCTTCAGCCTTTGTCTCAGGCTTTAAAATAATCACCTATTCAACCGAAACCCGTGGCATTTTAATCGACTCATATTATTCCGTAATACGTACATTCCTTACTATACGATGGACCCTAATAAAAGAAAAGAACACATTTGTACGCAATCGAGGCTAAGACTGAGCAAAGGCGAACTCGAAATGGGAGTATTGCAAAACGTTCCAAAAATGACCGTTACCTTCTTATTCTGTGCATGTCATTATACGAGTAGTAAAGAATACACTCTGCCTTCTTGCCATCTCGTCCAGCTCGACCACATTCCTGGTAATACCCCTCTAGCGACTTGGGCATGGAGTAGTGAATGACGTAACGTACGTCACCTTTATCGATACCCATACCAAACGCTATGGTAGCACACACCACCTGACATAGAAAAACAACAGTTGTAGTCTATGATTATCCATCAATGCTTGAGGATAGTTGAATGAATGAGGGAATGGATGGATGGACAAATGAATGGATGGAATATGGTTGAAAGGATAAAATGGATGGAAAGTCGGTTTGATGGATGGACGCTTTATGGATATGCAGTCATAAGACATACTGATAACTTAAGAGCGTCGTTTACCTTGGACTTAATGGCCATTTCAATGCATGTCTCATTCTCTAGAGTATCATTTCTTTGTTTAATGGTGCACATGAGAAGACACATGAATATGGATACAACTCAAACAAAGAATATCATTCTTAAGAGAATGAAACGTGGTCTGAAATAGACAGAACATTACACCCAAGGCTAGGTTTTCACAGGCATACGACACCTCAGTTTGCAATGACGTCATTTCTACGTCACTATTTCAGATCAGTTGGAATGTAGTATATCATAGGTTTTGTTTACCTTGACCTGCCCTTTGATCCAGATTTCTTGTGTTCGTACTCTCTGTTGATCACTTAATCCAGCATGATAAGCAACAGCTTTAATACCAGCTGCTTTAAGACTGTCTGCTACACGACTACATTCATTTCTATGGACAGACAAGAGGTCTGTTAGCGATTTAATACTTATATGGCTTCTTTTTCGCGTGCTGATAGTAATAAGTGATAGGAAGCCTTAATTGTTTTCAAATTTTTAAATTTAATTTTCAAATTTATTTCGTTTCTTGCTGCATAAAATGTCAACTGCCTCATCAAGTCCCATAAAGCAACGCATTTCTGTAACTCCGGAATAGCCCACTTCCGAGATAATTGCTTCGCTTGTCACGCACAAAGGTTTCAGTATGAGGCTACGTGCTAAATGCTCAGTCATTCGTGACACGCGGTAAGAATTAATTTAATTTAGCACGTAGCCTCATACTTAAACCTTTGTGCGTGACAAGCGAAGCATATCTCGGAGGTATGCTGTTGAGGCTGATAGTATTTGTTTCGTCCATGAACCCTCCCTTAATATCTTTTACATAAGCGTCCTCATGTTCCAACAGCGTTCCTTCCCTTGCACATTTATTGATTGACAATATGGTGGTTTACCTTGACAGACAGTAAACAATACCAGAGGAATGCGGATACTTGGACTTGATCTGGTTCGTCATTTCCTCCATTGTTTTCTTCTTAGGAAAAATTTGGAATTTTAGGTTTGGACGGTTAAAACTTTGAGAGAACCTATAAAGATCAAACGCATTCTTCAAGTTAACCGCAGTTAGTCATCAGGACATCGTTAGTGGTAAGTAAAAAGCTAGGGTCCAAAAATGGGTTCTCCACCACTGCCACGGAAATCAAGTTTTTTGACTAAATTTCTGTTGTATGAACGTATCATAGAAATACTTATCATCTTGTTTGTGTAGCGAACTTGGCTAACATCTTACAACTGGTTAGAACTATTTCTGTCCTGACCCGGGGGGTGACAGTAGCTATTAGTGCCATGACAGGGACACCCTGGAACTTGACTTACCTTTTACAATTAGATCTGTTTAACCGTAGTTGGTTTTCAATATCTGTCCTGACCCGGGGGGTGGCAGTAGCTGTTAGTGCCATGACAGGGACACCCTGGAACTTGTTCATCACCTGCGAGAGTTTCTTGTAGTCAGGACGAAAGTCGTGGCCCCATTGACTGATACAATGTGCTTCATCGATTACAAACCTAAGACACGAATGATACATGTAAAAATATATTTCAGTTTAGTTAAAATTTTGCATAATCACATAACGATTGAAAACTTTTACCCACCTGTCCAATAAACCACGACTGTGCAAGCTCGCTAGCGCAGAGTTCAGTTTCCCACTAGCAGACAGTTTCTCGGGTGTGACGTAAACCAGCTTAAGGTTTGGCTGACGTAATGACAAGTCTTGATAAACTGAACTGACGTGCTTCATTGCCTCGTCACTGGTGACGTCTCCCGAGAGATGTGTCGCGGGAATCTACGTTTGTAATACCGTACAAGATTGAATGTTATTTTACAGCTCAAAATTATCCGAGTTAAAACGGAACTAACTTAATTGACCTTTCTCAGGCGACAGTCATTTTGGTTGGAGAAAAAAATTCCTACGTATTTTTTCTTTCTTTTTTCCTTTCTTCCTTTTTTCCTTTCTTCCTTTCTTCCTTTCTTTTCTTCCTTTCTTTTCTTCCTTTCTTTCTTCCTTTCTTTCCTCCATTCTTTCTTTCTTTCTTTCCTCCATTCTTTCTTTATTTCTTTCTTTCATTCATTCTTTCTTTCCTCCCTTGCTCTCCAACTATTCCTTTCTATTCCCCACGTATTTCTTTCTTCCTTAAAACCCTTCCCTCTCAATATTTCATTCAAATGCATGCTTCAAGATAAGTTTAAACTAAGTCTTTCTCTATAGGAATAAACATGGTTGCAGTGTAAATTCTACTCACCCTCATTGACGTCAGTCTCTGAACTTGATCCTGGATGAGAGATTTTAACGGCGAGACAACAAACGTCACTCCCTTACCCATGAGAGCAGTGACCTGATAACACAGGCTCTTCCCTCCTCCTGTAGGCATGAGTACGAAGCAGTTCTTCTTCTGCATGGCAGCGTTGATGACTTGAAGCTGGTTCGTACGCAAGCTCTTGATGCGGAAGATATCTCGTAGGATCTTCCACATGTCTTTGGAGAAAGGGAAGTCTGTGCGACGGAGCTCGTCTGAAAGGGGATTTTGATTAATGTCGTTAGTAACATATGATCATCATGACATCATACGATCGTTGGAATCAAAACAAGATATTATCATCACCTATACCACAATGCTCATCATTATTAACACTAACTCATCCGATTATCATCATCATCATCATCATTACCAGCACTACCATCAATAGCAACATTATCCGATTATCATCATCATCACCACCATCCTTACCATCACCACCACCATACTCAAAAGCAACATCTGATAATCATCATCATAACCATCACCACTATTATCCGATTATCATATGGTCATCATGATATTATGATCATGACATCATCATTACTAGATTACGTACCATTATCATCATAATCATCATCATCAACGCCATCCAATTATCATATTATCGTCATGATCATGATCACGATCCTGTCATCATCATCGTCATGATCATGATCATGTCATCAGGCGTTGTCATCATCACCATCATCATTACAAGATTACGTTCCATCATCACTACGACATTGCGCACCATCATCACCATCATCATTACAAGATTACGTACCATCATCACCATCATCATTACAAGATTACGTACCATCACCATAATCATTACAAGATTACGTACCATCATCACCATCATCATTACAAGATTACGCACAATCATCACCATCATCATTACAACATTACGTTACGTCATCATCATTACAACATTACGTACCATCATCACCATCATCATTACAAGATTACGCACAATCATCACCATCATCATTACAACATTACGTACCATCATCACCATCATTGGGTATCATCGTTTTCTTCGCGGGAGAAGGTCCAAAGCTGCTGTTTAAATTCTGTGAAGTCGATGCTGATGACTTGGACAAATTAAGACCTTTTTTAAATTGAGGCGTAGACTTCGCACTAGACACTGTTGCTGTGGCCCGGTTAGTCTTGTTAAAGTACGACTGTTCCAACATGCATGCCATCTCCCAGTCATCTTCACTGTCACAATCCTCGGAGATTTCTGTTGATAAAAAGAGCGGGAAACATTGACTTCCGTCTGTGGTCAATAAATTGTCTACGCGTTTAACCACAGAAGAAAGCGGTAATCGTTGACTTCCTGTAAATGGTACACGCGTCTACACATTAAAAAGAGCGGGAAAGGTTGGGTTACTATAAATGGTACAGGCGTCTACCCGCCTACCTATTGAAAAGAGCGGGAAATGTTGACTACCCGTAAATGGTACACGCTTCTAACCACCGAAAAAAAGCGGGAAACTTCCAGTAAATGGTACGAATAGAAAACTGCCTACCTTGTGGAACAAAACTCGTAGATGCACTAGATACAGAATTCCTATTTTCGTTATCATTTCTCCAGTTTGACGAAGTTGAAGTCGATACTCCAAGACTAGAATTCGCCGTAAAATTGTTATTGTCAAAGTAAAAACTCTCCCCACAAGGAGGTGATTGTATAAAGGAACCAGTAGTACTTGTAGAAGTTCTGTTGTTGACTATGGCCGGTGTACTGCACAAGTTTGATCTCCCGCCAGTTGTACTTGTCTGCTGTGTTGTTCTAGTAACTGTAAAATAATAAAATAAGATTTACCGTAGTGCAGAGGCGGAATTTAGAATTAAAAAAGGCGGGGGAGGGGGGGCGCCCGATGGTATTGATAACACTAATCCCTAAGGACAAGAACACAATTTTAACCTTCTTGGATCAACTGCGCAATTATTTAACAATTCATCAGTTCACTGTAGGGTACAAAATTTAACCAAACGAAATCCTAAAATTTAATCGTACTATACAATAGTCCAGTTCACAGTTCCCTGCGCCATCTTGAAAGGTAGCAGTGCCTTTGCATCGAAGCGAGACGACCTTTTTTAACACCTTGGATTATTCACTTGCCTCTATCATTGCAAGCTCACAGTTCATCTCGCTTCGATGCAAAGGCATGGCTACCTTTCAAGATGGCGCAGGGAACTGTGAAAGGGATTGTTCATATTGACAAGGAAGAGCATAATTATTTTTGTAGTATTTTAGAGCAAAAAAGCAACCATTTTTTAGCGGAACTTCTGTTCTACCTTCGTGGCTTGTAATTTTATTGAGTGCGCAATCAAAATGCTATCTCAGAAAAGTTGTATTCTCCTTAAAACGGCATCGCATGATGTCTTCATCAAGCTATATTTTTACCTGGAGTTACATTAATGCTCTCTCCCCGCTGCTTTAACATGGCTTCTAGTTTGCCCGCCTTGGATCTCAGCTTCTTTCTATTAAGAAAAATGGGGGAAAAGGAAAAAAATATATATTTATGAAATACCACCCTTTTATAACACACCAATCTTAGAACTTTATACGCCATATTAATTTCTCTAAAAAATGCAAGTGCGCATCCTGCTTTGCAAATAAGCGTATTGCTTTACGTTACATTGATCCAATCACAGCGCGCAGTTACTGCTACGGTAGGATACGGTACTGTTTTTCCATTTGAAACCACGTGTCATTCTCTAGAGTATCATTTCTTTGTTTACCGCCGTTTGCATGGCTACGCGGCCACCCCAGACAAAAATCGCGATGTGCACTTTGCAATTTTTGTCTGGGGTGGCCGCGTAGCAATGCAAATGGCGGTAACGGTTGCGCATGAGAAGACACATGATTATGGATACAACGCAAACAAAAAATCTCATTCTCAAGAGAGTGACACGTGGTCTGAACTGGGCAAAACATTACGCCCAAGTGGATTTGTTCTGTTTGCCGTATCGTTTCCCACTCATACGGAAAACCGCTGTTAACTCGGTAAACCAAAATATGATAATGAATGGATGTACCTGAGATTTTGCGCATCTGTTAGCTTGTCTACACTGACGTCTACTGGTAATGATCTTCGTAATACGTCTGTGTCAACTTTATCAATTATACAACAAATGTCTTCCATTGTTTTGGTTTGTAGGGTTTGTATTTCGAGAAGTTCGTCTTGAATCTGTGTAGTAGGGGTCTAGTACGAATGATAATCATAAAAAAAGCATTTTCAATAATGTTTTCTGATTGGTTGGATTCATGTGCCTTTATGAGAATACACACCATGCTTGCTTTGTATTTTGTCATTTACAGCGCTCCTCAATCACACGCGTGAAATCGTGCCATCGTGACGAAGTGGGTTTTGGTGGACGTCAATCAAGGCGTTTCCATGACATTCCATAGGCACGTGCCCTAAGTATTTGATAAGTAATCATTCACATAATTTATACTGTACTCTACTTGCCTGTCTTGGGGTCTGTTTCAGTAACGGATGCAGGGCTACTTTATCTTGGGCTTTGAGAACATTTTCCCTGAAAAGGCAAGAACAGCAATTAAATTCAGCTGGGTCCAGTTGATGCTGTTGCCCAATAAATTTGTCCACTGGATAAGAATTTATCTGTTGGAAAGCGCTATCCAACCTTCGTRCAACCTGGCTCTGATCTTTTCATATTGTATTTGCAAGATTAGATAAAGGAAAGTGGGCTTGGAAAGGCCTAAAAGAATGGGTCTAATTTACAATATTCTCTAATAGCTGTTATTACAGTTGAGCTCGCAATGAGAAATTTTTAATGTTGTAAGTGGGGCTATCGGGCCGATACAATGCTTGTTGTCTCATTTGCATCTCATTTGCATGCATCCATTAAAACTGCTATTTATACAATACCTTTCTAGTTCCTCAAGTTCATCTTCATTGTAAAGGTAGTTATCACAGTCTTCAGTTGGTATTTCCTGTGTTGCAGGCTGCGGTGATGGTGGTGGAGAGTAGTAGGTCGGCAGTGTGGGACTATCAGGAGCACCCTCAATGTCATCATCATCATCATTATTCTTATGGTTCTCAGCATCATCTATGCCATCATGACCTTGATTGAGCTGTCAAAAATTTAACAAATTTCTGATGGTTTTGTATGGTATGTCCTCTTATTTACCACAATATGATGTCAACAATTAGTCAAAATGTTATGTACTCACAAGTCATAGTTCTAGCTTAAATAAAGGTATCGAATAATAATATTATTGTGCAGGTAAATGCCTCTGCAACCTGATTTCAAGTCTCATCCCCGCTACTTTTTGCTGAGTCACTTCCCTCACCTCAGTACTTGGATAGATACAGCCTGTACTTGTAAATAACTATCTACTGTTGAGACATGGGAGAAGAGGGGTTGTGGACCCAGAATTCTGGGCACAAGAGTTTAAAGTAGGAGGTTCTGTCAATTTTAAAACAAAATCTTTAAAAGAATGAATACTATGCAGGTTATGAAACTGAAAATCATGTGCAACCCATGTTGACAGCTCTGATATGTCATTACCTGGTAAGCATCTAGTAGGGCATCATCTTCAGACCCAATACCAAAGCTCCAGTTGATTTCATCAGTATCAAGTGTTAGATCAACAACAGGCTCCTGAATGGAAAATAATTCAGAAAAAGACACAGTCATTACAAAGAGATTGTGTCCCTTTAGGTATCATGTGGATTGGGTATACTATAGGTATAGAGTATTATATTTTTTATTATTTGCTAATTACAGTAATCTTTTGTAAAGCAAAGTATCAAGTTGCCAGCCTCTATTTAGCAGCCAGTCACAAAGAGGGTTTTTGCACTAGTTTGTACCACTATTAGGTAACCAACTCCTACTTAGCAGCCAGTTAAGTCCCAAATTGTAGGGTATTAGCACTAAGCTTTTTTTATTCATTTGTTTTAACTTCTTTGGGAGTGGCAAGATGACAGTGTTAATTAAGCTAACGAAAGGATCTTAAAAAACGGTAATAGTGGTTACTGGTTTCTATATTTGTCTAATGAGAATTTTAAGGGTTATTTGATTGGTCATATAATTACCACTTCTTTCATTTTTACTGGGCTTTCTTTTCTTTCTTTGCCTCCTTCTTTACAAGCAGGAGAAGTAGAGTGATGTAACTTTATCTTCTTGGAATGAGGAGAACCTAGTACAGAAACATGCATTACATTTTCCGCATGCACTTAAAGATAATTATGTACCTAACACCTCCATTATAGTCACACACTGCCGACCTACTACTCTCCATTATGTCACAAACAAAGATTTTGTTTGTTCGTGAATCAAATTTCCAGCAGTCGKAGTGTAGAGTGAGGCTTTTCCTTATCATGTGATAGCAGCCATGAGAGGAGTTGAATCTGGTCTAATCCTGTTTTACATGAGAAATAACTCAGTTTCCCAGAAGAAAAAAAATTCTAGTGTTTTGTCTTGATCATGGTTGCCATCATGTGATGGTACAAAGCATCTACTAGTGAGAATAGTCTTTTAAATGATAAAAATCAGAAACTCAGACATCCCAGAGTTTCATTTAAAGTAAATAACTTCGTCAAACTCATTAATAATTCATGAGGAAAGCACAACAGAAATCACAAAATTGTGTTCATTTGCATAAACTTTAAGTKGGATTTTCTTGGCCAGATTCACTTTAATTTTGAAAATTTTAGTGAAACAAAAAGGAACTAACCTAGATGTTTGACAAGCAATCTACAGTATTCGTGTCCATGTTGTATCCGATATACGAACCTCATACTGTATATTTTACATGAAATACTTACTACTGGTATTTATATCAAAGTCATTATCATCATTATCAAGGGTAACAGGAATCAGTTGATTCTGACTGACATTGACAGGTTTCTTTAAACTTTGTGATTGAGGTCCTTCTTGGCTATCACTGCAATGACAAGAAATCTTTTAAGAATTCCTTGCAAATGCTGACACTAAATTTCTTAGTTTTCTGCGGTCCACATAGTTTTTTCTGAGTTCTCTGGTTTTCCTGCCTTCACAAGCAACATTTCTAAATAACAATGGGAGTTTCTTATATAGCGCATTTCATACATCTCAATGTGCTTTACATTTTTTATGAACCAGTGGAGGACTTTACAGGCTGCATATTAAGGTGCTATTAGTAGCCATGCAGCCTACAATCATGAGTGGCTTATTAGTATATTAGTGTTATGCCTCTAACTTGGGAACTCCGGCCCAACAGACCAACGCTCTTACCAACTGAGCTAACCAGGTGGTGGTAAATTCCAATTCAATCATGGAATACAAGTACTGGGGCCGTAGTAATAGGCTACGTTTGACCATAGTCACCCTGCCTCTTTTTTATGACGCTGTTAATTTGTTATGTTTATTCTTGCATGGTAAAGTTAATAAAATAAAATAAGATAAAATAAAATAAAATAAAATAAGGGCAACAGATTTGTTAGCCCCTTAACGACATATGAGGGCTCCTCTCATGAAACAAGGGCTATTTATTAGTTCTTTACTATATAATGACAAAGTAAAGTGTTTTTAACAGTACAAAACCTATGTAGTACATATATTGTTGATTACCTCTTACTAAAAGGCTGTATACGAGCCACCTGTTTTCCAACAGAAAGTGTACTTTCCTTGCATGTACTTGAGCTGTGGACAGAAATACATAACTTACTAAAATTATAGACATTAACAAGAAAGACTAGCAGATGACATTCAGGATTTAAAGAAGATTTCAGCTCAATAGCTATGCTCAATGAAACTACAGTGGAGTCCTGTTATCTGGAACCTTTAGGGCCCAGTTGTACGAAGGGTGGATAGCACTATCTGATGGATAAATCCTATCCACTGGATCAATTTTTGTACAACAGCTTCATTCAACTTATCCACTTGATAAGGATTTATCCATTGGATAGCGCTATCCACCCTATGTGCAAATTAATGGGCCAAGGGGACCAGGAAAAAGGTTCGAAATAACAGGAGGTCAGAGTAAATTATTGTACAGTGATGTGAGTACCCAGACAGTATTACACTGATGCAAGTCCATGTAATAGTGCCTCAAGTTTGAGATATCTGGGATTTGCGATTCCACAATATTTTCTTATCTTCTTTTCAGTAAAATATTTCCCCAAAATGAGATGCTTCATTCCTTTGGCAAATCATATAAAAAGTTGGAAGCAACATAAATATTCAGACCTCAAAATAAAACATGAACTCATTCTTAAGTGAATTCTTACATGAGAAAAATTTAGCTTATACTGAAATATATTGTATATACCTTTCACTTTGTATTGGTGTAGAAATGTTTACAGGTACTTGACTGAGAGGTTTTGAAGCTGCAATCTAAAGCATGTACTAGCTCAACAAATGTACAAAAAATGTATAAAGAATCTAGAAATCAATGTGGTGGTGAAGGTGAGAGGCTCGTATTGGACAATTTTTGAAACCACACTATTATCCTCTACAGACATTGTTTCATGATCATAACCATAAAATCCCTTAAATAAATCTTTGCAACAGTTTGGTTACTACAAAAATTAAACCATGTGTAATGTTTCTGTTACCCAGACATTACTCTAGACAAAGCATGGAGCTATTTTACCTTCCATCAATCAAGTTTACAATTTTACTTTTATTTTGACTGACTGAATTCAAAAATTGCAGACACGTCTAGAAGTTGCTGAGGCATCAGAAACAGCTTTGGACCTCCTTTCCCCACCAAAATGTGAAAGAAAAAAAAACATATTTCAACAAATATATAATTTTCCTATAACTTGCAACTAACCTGTACGTTAGATTTATCCTTTTTGAAAAACTGGAATAAACTTGGACTGGATTGGAAAAAAGACCACGAAATCAATTAATAAAATTAGTGAGTCATTTGTGTGAGTTTATCCCAGACAAGACCATGAAATTTTAACACAACTCACCCATTTTCTTTAGAATCAGAACCTTTCTTTCCTTTAGATAAGTTCCCTGATATCTTTTTGTTCTTGTTGAACATTTCTAGCTGTTGAGCGAGGTTATTGCACGGGACACCTTGACCAAAGTGAGCCGCCATTTTGAACAATGAAGGCACGACTGTTTAACTTTACAGGCTCAAATCTTCGTAAAAACCAAAACTCATACGGAAATGATCCCATATTTCGAACAAAATGACATATTAGACTCTTCCTGTGGTGCTCTCTACCATAAATTCACCTCCAAAAGACTAGAAAAGGAAGCTTTTAACCCACAAATTAAGTTTTAGTCTCTGTCTTCTTCTTCAAACTTTCGCGCGTTTAAAGCGCTAGTCACCAGTCCATCATGAAATAACACAGCTACCCCAATACCCCATAGTGCAGGAAAAGACGAAGTAGCTGCAAAAAAGGGGTCCTAATCTCCTTCTAATACCCTGGAATGCCCGAAAGTTTTTGATTTTCGAAGATTTCTCACCTAAAACGAATTGTAGTCTATTTATAATAGATTAATTAAAAACATTCAGGAACAAAAGCTTTTTTAAGTAGGTACGATGCTTAGGACACCCATCCAGGTACTAACCYTCCTCAGACGGGCTTGACTCAGTATCTTCGATGCCCAAGTTTTACCCATTGAGCCACGGTTCTACGTAATCAGCATAACAATAGGTCGCGAAAACGATGCACCGAATAGACTAGACTTTTTAACATCAGATTTTCAACGATTTCGTGCGTGGCAGAGATGCAAGGGATTAGCCGATATGGTCTGGGGGCCGGCTGGTCTCTCCCCTGATGCTTCGGCTAGAACATTTTCTTGCGTAATTCGTACACCCAAGGGCAGAAGGATTTAATCGCCGTCAGGTCCGAAGTCCATACGCCGCCTCAGCTCTGCGGATGTCTCGGGGGTATGGCAAAGTGGAGTCGTTTTTTCCCCCGGTCGATTCAGGTTCCGAAGCCACCTTTCGAAGAGTTTTTTTCTTTATTAAATTGTTTATTCAAACCCATACTGCTGCCTGGAAACAGCTACTGACAAGAGGCTTACTCTACTTGATTTTCTCAGTACTTCTCTACTATAATGCCAACTCGACCCAGTTTCCCCCTTAACCTAGAAATAGCTAATTTCATTGGTTCAACAAGAGCTTTCTTCTGGTCTTGTTTTTTATTTATTTTTTTATATAATTTGCATTGGCTGAGACCATGTTATTGCACAGAACATTGAAAGAGTATGACAGCTATTTCAAAAAGGTTGGTAATGGTTTTATTGTATGTTTCTTGACGAAGCATACTAACCCGAACTGCACTATGGGTGATGTGAATACAATCAGAAAAAAAAGGTCACGACAAAATGCATGAAATTTTCCTAAATGTTGTTTGCATGATTTTCCGGCATATGTTTTTCTTCTGTGCTGACTATTTACTGATGAATATAATACATTTCGAGCAACATGCCAGATGCAACAAAACCGTCATAAATTGCTTTTTTTTTAAATAGACCATTTTCTCAAGGTTGCGTGCGCATCCAAATTTGAGGAACTTGACGGGCCACGATAGTAGAACACACAAGTATTATCATGCATGATTGCTACGAACTTTTTTCGATAAGAATTCATAAAATCGATTATTTTCCTCTTTAAATATAAAGCTCTCAACATTTGCAGAGAGAGAGAGAGAGAGAGAGAGAGAGAATGAATGAATGAATGAATGCACCTTTATTTGAGGACGATAGTTTCATAAGTGTCATACACTTCTTTACATGAAAGTCGTACTTCATAAGAAAGAGATTTACATATAATATGTCACGAGATATATTTAAAAATGAATTAAATAATATGAACTATATATATATAGCTATTAAAATGCGTATGAATGATAAATATAAAGTGACTAGGTACTATCCGACTGCCAATTAGACAAATTCTTATTAAAAACTAACCTAGAGGATGAAGTTCGGATATGTGAAGGAATAGAATTCCATAATTTAGCTCCTCTGTAAGAGAAACTTTTTTTAAGGAATTCAGTCCTTGGAATGGTTTGAATTTCTAATTTATCTTCGATATTTTTCAATTTAGATTTATAAGCATTTGAATCCTTACTTTTTGAGAAAAGATC